TGGAATTAGGATGATCTGAATTCAAATCCAGCCCTGAGACATTTACTAGCTGTGTGACCATAGGCAAATCACTTAACCTCTGTCTGCCTTAGTTTCCTCATCTATAAAAAATGGAGATAATAATAGCATCTACTTCCCAGGGTAGTTGTGAGGATAAAATGGGATGATATCTATATCTATATATCTACATGTATATATGCAAACCATAAGCACCCTATAAGTACTAACAATGATGATGATGATGATGTTGAAGAAGATAATAGAAGGGAACAAGCATTTGTTAAGTACTTACTACGTGTCAGACACTGTGCTAAACCCTATACAAATATTATCTAATTTAATTCTTATAATGACCCTGTGAAATCAGTGTTTTATTATCTTAATTTTACAGTTGAGCAAACTAAGATAGACAAAGGTTAAGTGAATTGTCCAGGGTCAAACAGCTAGCAAGAATCTGAAGTCAAGTTTGAATTCATGTCTTCCTATCCCCAGGCCTAATGATCCATTGTGCCACCTAGTGGCAGTTTTTGTGATATAAAGGACATCAGTAACATATGCTAGTTAGTCAACAAGCATTTATTAAACTCCTACTATGTGCCAGGTACTGTGCTAAGTGCTAGGAATACAAAGAAAGACAAAAACATCATCCTTGTTCTCAAGGAGCTCACATTCAAATGGGAGAGATGTCAAGAAAGTGTACATAGGAATTTTTTCTTCAATCATTTCAGCCATATCCAACTCTCTATGACCCAGTTTGTGATTTTCTTGGCAGATACTGGAGTGGTTTGCCATTTTCTTCTCCAGCTCATTTTACAGATGAGGGAACTGAGGCAGACAGGGTAAAGTGACTTGTCCAGGGTCACACAGCTAGTAAGTTTCTGAGGCCAGATTTGAACTTAGGAAGATGAGTCTTCCTGACTCCAGGCCCAGCACTCCATCCATTGTTCCACCTAGCTGCCCGCTTATAAAATAGATAATGTAAATAAAAGGGGATCTCAGAAAAAAAAAAAGATGGGGGAGGGCAGAAGAGGAATAGGTAAGATCTCCTAAAGGAGATGAAATTTGAGCTGAGGAGTGATCGGAAAAAGTGGGCAAGCTACGTAAGTAGAGTAAGAAAGGACAGATAAATAAACCAATTATTATGTTGCTACCCTCGAGATACTAATAGAATGCTGCTGGTTCACCGGGAAGAATCTCCATAGTGGATTTATGGGGAGACAGCAATGATATTTGCATAGACGGAAAGGTTGGGATCTATGTGAGTAGCAGGAGACCCCACACTGAGATCACACATCCGCAGAAGTATAAAAATTAAATAGCTTATAAAATGAAATCTCCCATGTGAATGAAATAATTAACAGCTGGCTGGAGGCTAGAGAGCTGGGGAAGGAGACTTCAGTGTGACTAAATCTCAGGGCCTTAATCTTTGGAACAGAAACTTCTGATGTCCTTGGAGTGGTGCCCCTATTTGGAAGTTTTCATCATACCCTCTGGCTATTAGCCCTCATCTGGCTGAGTATGGAGAGAAGGGATAGAAAAACATCACATAGAGTCAAAGCATCTTTTTTGCTTTCTTGTGTTCTTTTTCTTCTTCTTCAGTAGTTACTGAATCTAAATGCTAATTCCCCAACACTGGATGCCCACCTACAACCTGCAGGAATCTGAAGCTCTCTTCAAATATTTGAAGGGTTGTCATATGGAAGAGACATTAGATTTACTCTGGTTGGTCCCAAAGGGCAGAATGAGGCACACTTCATTGGTAGAAGGTACAGAGAAGCAGATTTCCATTCACTGTAAGGACAAGCTTCCTAACAGTTAAGAGTTGTCCAAAATGGAATGGACTTCTTTGAGAGTTAACGAGTTCATCCTTATTCAACATCTTCAGGAAAAGTTTGAATGACCATTTTTTGAGGATGTTGTAGAGGAACTTTCTGTGTGGGTATGAGTTGGAGCAGATGACTTCTGAGATTTCTTCAGACTCTGAGTTTTGTCTAAGTCAGCAGCTAGACTTGCAATTAATCATACCAACACCATTTTTTCTTGAAGTTAGAAAACATGGGTTTGAATTCTTATTAAAATATTTACTAGCTGTATGATTTCTCTGAGTTTCAGTTTTTAGCATATGTAGTACGGACACAATTATACTTGTCCTTTACTCACAAGGGGAACATGCTTTGTAAACCTTAAAGTACTGCAGACATGTGAATTATTGTCATTATTTTATAGGATTTCCATTAGTGAAAACCATGTTATTTCAATCTTTTTAAACCTCAAGAAGGAACTGACAATTCAATTCAGCAACACTAATTAAGTACCTATTTTGTACAAAACCTGGGCTTTGATTCTAGGAATACAAAGATTGCTGCTCTCAAGGAGTTTATAATTTAGTAAGAGAGAAAAGACAGACTGGACTCATCTTTCTCTGCAAACCCCCTCCTCTTCCTAACTCCCCTATTAGTATTAAGGGCACCATCATCTTCCTAGTAAACTAGGCTCACAACAACACAGCAAATGAGGTGTCATCCTCAACTCCTTACTCTCACCACTAATATCTAATTTATTGCCAAGTCCTGTCCATTCAACCTTTACAATATCTTTTGTATATATCCTTTTATCTTCTTTGATATTGTTATCCCATGTGCAGGCTTTCATATGGACTATTGCAATGATTATCATCTTCCCTTCTGCAAGTCTTTCCTCCCTCCAAACCATCCTATATTCAGCTATGAAAGTGATCTTCCTAAAGCACAAGTCTGACCATCACTGTCAGATTGACCTCCTAGAAACTCTAGTGACTTCCTATTTTCCCTCAAGGATTAAATATAAAATGCTCTAGTTGGCTATTAAGCCCTTCATAATCTGGCCCCTTTCTATCTCCATATACTCTTCAATCCAGTGATACCAGCCTCCTTGCTGTTCTTCACATAAGATCTTTCATTTCCCCAATCGTGCATTAGCTGCCCCCATTCCTGTGATTCACTCTCCTTATCTCTGCCTCTTCCTTCACATCTCAGCTAAAATCCTACTTTTTGCAAGAAGGCTCTTGGGTTCCTCCTTAATGTTAGTGCCTTCCCTCTGAGATTACCATAGAAAAGAATCATGAGACGCACAAATTTAGAAAGATTTCCCCTCCAAATGTTCATATGAACTATTTGTGCCAGACCCGTGGTAGAGACTTCTGAGCTCATTTTGGTCTGACCAGCCACAGTCAGACACACTGTACCTTGGCCCAACATAGTGCTGACATTTTGTTCCTCTTCAAGCAGGAAGGATAACAATTAACTAATCTCCAATTTATCCTGCTTATATCTTGTCTTGTTTGCACATAGTTGTTTACACAGTGTCTCCTCCTACTCCCCCCCACCCCTCCACCAACAGATTGTGAGCTCCTTGTGGTATGAGCTGCTTTTGCCTTTTTTGTTAATTTTTTTGTATCCCCAGTGTTTAGCATGTTGCCTGGCACATAGTAGGTGCTTAACAAATACTTCTTGATTTGACTGCATGACTTTGAGTAAGTCACTTAAGATTTCTGAGTTTCAATTTCCTCATCTATAAAGTAGGTACAAACTCTAAATCACTATTTATTAGAGAAGTGTAAATTAAAACAACTCTGAGGTACCACCTCACACCTATCAGATTGGTTAATATGACAGAAAGGGAAAATAAAAAGGTAAAAGGACCCACATGTACAAAAATATTTATGGTAGCTCTTTCTGTGGTGACAAAGAGTTGGAAATTGAAGGAATGCCCATCAATAGGGGAATGACTGAACAAGTTGTGGTATATGAATGTAATGGAATACTATTGTGCCAAAAGAAATGATGATCAGGCAGACTTCAGAAAAACCTGGACTTACATGAACTGATGCTGAGTGAAGTGAGCAGAACCAGGAGAACATTGTACACAGTAACAGTAACACTGTGCAATGACCAACTTTGATAGACAACTCTTCTCAGCAACAGAATGATCCAAGACAATTCCAAAAGACTTGTGATGGAGAATGCTAACCACATTCAGAGAAAGAACTATGGAATCTGAATGCAGATGGAAGAATACTATTTTCACTTTTTTTTGGTTTTTGTTTTTTTCTTTCTCATGGTTTGTCCCTTTCATTCTAATTCTTCTTTCACAACATGGCTAATGTGGAAATATGTTTAACATGATCATACATGTATAACCAATATCAGATTACTTGCTGTCTTGGGGAGAGGGAAGGGGAAGGAGGGAGGGAGAAAAATTGAGAACTCAAAATTTTATACAAATGAATGTTGAGAACTATCTTTATATATAATCAGGATAAAAATACCATTAAGAAGATGGGGGAAAATAAAGTAGGTATAAGGATATTTGTGCTACCTACCTCACACAAAGCTGTTGTGAGACAAGTGCTATAGAAATAAGTTATAATTATTTACCTCCTCTTTTGGTCTCAGTTTTTTACTCTGATATATGAAGGGTTTGAACTAGGTGAACAGTGTGGGGTAATGAAAAGGGTACTACAGACCTGGGTTTGAATTCCAGCTCTGCTACTGATCTATGACCTTGGATAAGCAAGTCACTCCCTCTCTGATGGCCTCAGTTTCCTTCCACCTCTGAAAACTGAGGGAATTGAGATGATCTCTAAGGTCCTTTTCAGCCATGCACACCAGGTTTCCATATTACATGAGTTACTGGGAAGGCCTCCATGAGGTCTGGAAGAGGATGGGCAGGTACACAATTTTCTAACATTAAGGCCTAGCCTTAATTGTGTGCCTGGGCCTCTCAGGCTGGGCAGACACTTTATAGAATCAACAACATCCCAGATATAGAGAAGATCTCAGGGACCATTTGGTACAACCCATACTGGCACAGGAATCCCCTGGACCTCAACAAGGGGTTATCAAGCCTTCACTTGAAGGCTTCCAGTGATAAGGAAATATCACCACCTCCCATAGTAGCCTACTCTGGCCTACTCCACATTTGAATCACTCTTTCTTAGCTCTTCTCTTGTTTCCGAACAGAAAGAACAGGAGATCTTTCTTTTTCTCAAGCCTAAGATCCAGCCACACCATCCACAGCTGAATTGGAACCCTGCCAAAGCCCTGGCATCGGGGGCACCCCAGGGCAATGGAGAAAGGCTCTCTTCCTATTCTGGGCTTCTCTTTTGCAATCAAATTATTGCCTATCCTCCAGAGGGTTTTGTCTTTCATTTCTTTAATTAAAGAACAAGCAAGCTGTTTGGAGACATGACTTATGAATGCTAACTTGCTAAAATAGGTAAGACACGGAACACAACACCCCTCCTAGGGGCATCACATAGGATTCACCCTGGAACCTTCATTGCTAAGGGGTGGGGAAGCCAACGGGGGAGGCGGGGGTGGGGGGTGGGGCAGGGAAGCTGAGCTAAAGGGAGTTATGCTAACTAGGTTCAGATAAGGTCAACGTAGAAAGAGTCCATGACTGAAGGGCTGCCTTGTCAGCAGATTCCCAGTAACACCTCCCTTGGAGCTTTATAGATCATAAACCCCAGAATTTTTAGAATTTTGTTTAGAACTGGAAGGTTCTCAGTAATCTTCAAGGCTTCTCATTTTACAGAGGAGAAAACTGAGGCCCAGAGCTGGGAAATGACTTTTTAAAGTCATGTAAAAATACTGCCAGTGATGAGAGTATGTAAGGAAGTGGGGGAGAGAGGGAGAAAATGTATTTTGTAAGCTGCCAGGGTGATCTATGTATTAGGTTAAATTACTGATTTCTGAGGCAATGGGAACCCTATCTTTTTTATATATCTATTTGTATTTTCTTGCGTCAAGGTAAGTTAGATAGAATCATAGAGCTGCAAAGGATCTTAGAGGTCATCTTGTCCAACCCCCTCATTTTACAGGTGAGGAAACAAAGGTCAAAGAACTTGGTCAGGATGACACAGGTAAGTAGTAGGTTGGGATAAGTAGGAGGACATTCTTGGTCTAAAGGAAATCAGGATAAGTCACAATAGGGCTAGAATGAGGAACTTTCATTAAGGAATAGGATCGGCATTAGGAGATAGTAGCAGTAGAAGGGGCGAAAGTAATGAGGACTCTGGTTTGGCAGATCTTTGAACCCAAGGGGCCAAGCTGTTCAGGGCCCAGTGAGGTGCAGAGGCTCGAGTTGGAGGAATGGGAGAATTCAGAAATGGCAAGATAATTTCATGGAAATAGCCTGCATTTGTAGTAAGAAGACCCAAGTGCAAGCCACTTAAAATGTGTGACCTTGAACCAATGGCTTCCCATCTCTGGACTCAGCTCTCTCTCTGTACAATGAAGGTATTGGGGCACTCCAAGTTCTCTTCTAACACTAGATGCCCTGGGATGATTTTTAGTGGAAAAGCTAGTTCCCCAGAAAGCTGTGTTTAATAGGGCCCAAAGCCCCAGGGTAGAAGCCTCCACAGAGGTGACCTCGTTCTTTTGACTCCTATGCCTGTACTCTTTCTACCACACCATGCTGCCTTTCATATCCTTCTTTAATGCAATCATTAATTATTATTAATGATACTTTGAATAAATCCTATATCTTCTAAAAAGCTCTGAGTGGACAGGCCTCATTGCCTCCAGATTTCCGCTAAGGAAAATCCTTTCAGGTCACTTAATCAACTGGAAATCACTTCCTCTTATGGGACAGTCTTCTCATTGTCTTGTTTGCAAAGTTAAATACTATCATTCAGGCTGAGCTATTTCTAATGCTGAGTTCCTGACAGTTATTTGAAACTACAAATGTTTTAAAAAATACACACACCCACCACAAAAACACATACTTGGACATGTACTAACAGAAACGCACATACACATGTAGTTTTTACTGAAGCTACCCAAAGTCCAGAGTCTGAGGGCTATATGAACCTGTCCTAGAGTCAAGGCCTCATAGCCTCTCACTGACAAGGTCAATGACATAATCACATCAAAGAAAATAAGGTGGAGGTCAGATGATGTCAAGAACACAGGCATCGATGTCCTTATGACACAAGTCATTATCATTAGCCCTTCAGCATATACTCTGTGCCAGTGGTCTCTGACGGCTTCTAGTTTGGCCCAGTTAATGAGACTTTCCCCAGGAAAATTCTCAAAGTTTGAGAATACACAGAAAATGCCATTTATGTAACCAGACTCCCTAAAACAAATTTGATCTGCCACTAGTGAGTGTAACAGCTGACATTTCTATAATGCTTTGAGATTTGTAAAACACTTTAATACACTGTTGTTTGATCCTTACAAAAACCCTCTGAGGTAGTTGCCGTGAGTGTTATTCACATTTTACAGATGAGGAAACTGCGGCTCATAAAGATTAAGTGACTTGCTCATCGTCATGCAACTTGAAAGTTCACAAATCTGGATTTGAACTCAGGTTTTCCTGACTTCAAGTTCGGCACTCAATGCCAGTACATTGGCTCTTTTCCCCCTCTTCTTTTGAGACTATTCAGCAGCAGTCACAGTGTAAGGGCCAGTCTAACGCCAGGACAGCAGCTTGGACTATATCTGAAAGTAAGAAAGGGGCTGATGCTCTTGTTAGAACTGCTAACAACAGCTGCTGCCCTCCTGTCCACAGACTAAATGCCTTACCTCCCTGATTGTGGTAATAACACGGGTTTCAATAACAATTAATCTCACCTACATGGGTAGAATCAACACTGTCACATAGGCACATGAAAGTACAAAATATCTGTGATGCAGAGCATAATTAATTTTGGTAGCCCTTGTGCCCAGGAATATTTCTTCCTTTGGTTTTTCAAGGTGCCCAAAATTCTATTGTTCAAAACTTTTTTTTTCCATTGGAAGGTCAAATAATGACACTGAAGCTTAAATACTTTTGCCACATAATGAGAAGATGGAACTCATTGTAAAAGACCCTAATGTTGGGAAAGATTGAAAGCAAAAGGAAAATGGGATAGCAAAGGATGAGATAGATAGCAACATGGGAGAAAACGAGCATGAGCTTGGATAGACTTCGGGACATAGTGGAGGATAGAAGGGCCTGGCGTGCTGTGGTCCATGGGGTCATGAAGAATTGGACATGCATGACTGAACAACGACATTGGTTCCCATCAAGCTATCCTTTTCAGCTTTTAATCTGTGATCTGGAGGAGCAATAAAATTAATAATATTACCTCACATTCACATAGAGCCTTACAGTTTACAAAATCCTTTCACATCCATTATCTCCTGAGATCCTCTGAAGGATCCTGTGGGGTAGTTTGGACAGATATTATTGTCTTTATTTTATAAATAAGGAATTTGAGGTGGTGACTTCCACTAGAATGTAAACTACTTTAGGCAGGGTCCTTGTTTTGGACTTTCTTTGTTTTCCCAGAGCTTAGCACAATGTCTAGCATGTAAGCTTAATAAATGCTTGTTGATGAAGTGATGTGATGAATGTGATGAAGTGATGAAGTGACTTCTCTAGGTTACACACCTAATGAATGAGGAAGACTTAGGGCCCCTGATTTCTGCTATAATGAATGTCTGAGGAGAAGGAAGGGGCCTGTGAGGGTTTGTCTGTCAAGCAGTAGACAGCTGATTCTACTAGTGTCTTTTGGTACATTTGGCAATGTGGCACCTTTGATAATATTGATACATTAAGTCCTTGAGCCAACTGGGGCATTAGGTGGTTAGAAGTATTGACAAAATCCAAATTGGCAACATAGTCCTGCCAAGGGGGAAAAAAAGGGAAACATGGAAATAGTCCCCAGGGGTGGGATTAATCTGCCCCTCACACAACAGAGACAATGTGTGAGAGTAAGCATCTTGGAATCCTCAAAATACCATAGCCTCTTCCACATGTCACCTGGAAACAGATTTCCTCATCTCTTTTGTATTTATCTCACCTGGCTCCATACTCAACTGTTGCAGAATGATGGAATGTAGTAATCCCACCATTAATAGTATTGCTCCACATGTTGAGTACTCCTTTATAAATGCTGTTTGACCTTCGTTTTCAAAGAGAGCCAATGACATCACAAGGTAATGTCTTGACTTGCTTGTGGATTGGATTTAAGTGAGGCACAGTTGCACAGTCATTAGCCTCACTCTCTCTTCCAGTGTCATCATTCCAGTGCCAAGATAAAAGTCAAGACAAGTGGTGATGACCTGGAATGCAGTGCATGACCTTGGCATCTTTAGTATCTTCAGCCACCTTCATGGCCATTGGAACAAATTGTTTTCATCTGCCCATTCCCTTGGGGGATGTCTTCCTATGCTTAGGTAGACATCCCCTTAATTCACTGATGGCTTTGAGGCCTGTTGGTTACCTTCAACCTGGTTTAGCCCATCTGCTGAGACGGTTTACTGGGATGTGGCTGCTGCACATGCTACAGCTTCTTGGAGCCACAGGTGAGAGATTGGTGACAAGTAGACACCAAAGATGTATGAGCAGCCCTGAAAAGAGCTGCACAATCCCTCACACCAGAGGTGCTAGTCCTCCCTGAACACTCCTACACACCCCCTTTATAAATACACAGATGATACATACATAGATACCTTGATATGGGATTTATATATATATTACACACGTGCATTTATAGTAATATGCATATATGTATATGTGTGCGCTCACATGTACTCTATATGTCTCTGTACACATATGTGTATGTGTATGTATGAATGAATTGTGCTCTTTGAGGGCAGGGCACATAGTAGGAACTTAATGACTGTTTACTGAGTGAGATACATGCTCATGTACACACACACACACACATATACACACACACTAGCGTGCTCCATGTATTGTCCACCATCCCCAAGTAGTATGCTGATCAGTTACGTGATTTTGGGTGAATCTCTTAATCTTTCTGGACCCCAGTTTCCTCATCTGTAATATGAAGATATTGAGTGGCATGGTATAAAAAGAGCATTAGATTTGGAATCAGAGGATATGGGTTCAATTCTACCTCTGTCTATGTAAAGGAGAGCAAGACACTGCCCTTTCAGAGCCTCAGTTTCCTTATTTGTGAAATGGGGAAACTGGAATGGATGACCTCTGAAATCTTTCTAGCTCTAAGTTCTGTGATCTTTGGACCCCAAGGAGGGGTGTGACTAAGAAATTTTTTTTCATTTGAGCCAAAAACAGCTGGGATGGGAGTGCACAACAAGACATGATCTAACACTGGGTGCATTTGTGAAGCGAGAGGGAGTGGCTCATTCCCCCCACCTTCCCCAACTTCTGCCATTTAAAGACCCTACTCCTTCTCTGTGTCTCTCTGTCTCTGTCTCTCTCTC